TCCCGACCCACTACCGCGCCGAAGGCAAAGGAGACGCCGTAACCCGCCGACCTCAGCGTCTCAGAGACCCGGGGCCGAGAGAACACCCTAGGCGCCAGAGTGCCTCCGCGTGCCTTCTCGGCCCCTAGCGGCTCTCGTCGTCTAAGCTTCCGGCCTGATGGATGGCCCGACCCCTCTAGGGCCCGGGCCGCCGCTTCTCGAGCTTGTCTGGGCACCGAGGGCGCCGCCGTCGCATCCGGACCTGCTCCGTCTATGGCGGCCGCTCGACGATGCAGGCGAAGCCCCCTAAGCCCCCCGCCTGTACTTCCTTCTTTTCCTAGCGATTCGAGTCTGATCCCCCCCTCCTCGTCTTCTCCTCGCCTTTCTCTTTCTCATCCTCCTCTGAGCCCTCGGCCGACCGCTCGCGCTCGCCTGGGTCGATCCAGCCAGAGACCCTAGTGGGCTTCGCGTTTCCAACACTCCAGGCTGCCTCGCACGCGTCTAGGCGGAGCCCATCTCTTCACTGGTAGCGGCGGCCCAGGGGGGGCCCAGATGGACCCGCCCCTCGGGGCAGCGAATTTCGATCGAGCGAGGCTCTGGAGGAACCAGGGAACGAGGCGCCTTGCCTCCGCATCTTTCCATGGCCGAAGCCACGAAGAGAGAAAACGATTGAGGCGAGTCCAATTGAATTTCCCTCCGCCCGGCCTTGGCAGCGATCTCGGCTCGAATCGCCGGTCTCTCCCGTTTTCGACCCCAAACGGCCCGGGCCCCGCCTTGTCCAAGGAGCTTCCTCGATCCCCAGGGGCCCTGATGGAACGCTTCATAACTCATGAGAAACAAATCCGAAGTTTTAGGGAGAGACTGACCTGGCCTCCTCACGGCTTACCAGACCTCCGGCGGGATCTCCAGCATCCAGGGCCTCTCGGAGGTGACGATCGCCTCCCGGTGGTCGGCGAGGCTCCCGCTCGCATGGGCGAACTGCCCATGCCGCCGCTTGCCGTAGCCGCCGACTGGAGGTCCGTCATGATCATGCCGGCCAGGCGCTGGAGATCGGCCCCAGCGGCCGCGGGGGGGGGCGCGCTCTGCCTCGCGGCGCGCTCCTCGGCCATGTATATCAATTGATCAGGTCCCTCATCCTGACGTTCTCCTGCCTCTGGGCGTCCACGCGCTACTTCATGTCGCTGAGGGCCGTCTGCGTTCCGGTGATCGCCGTGGCCCTGGTAAGCTTGTGCTTCGGAGTCGGTCCGTCCGCGCTGCCTCCTGAGTGAGGCGGTGGGGGGGACTTGTGCTTCGCGTGGCCCCCCTCCTCCAGAACGCGCAGGTTGTGCGGCGCCGGCGGGCCCCCCGCGGACGAGATCACGGTTCCCGAGGCGTCCTTCGAGACCGCTCGACGCGCAAGGACAGGCTCTCCGGCGGGGCTCCAGGGATCGGGTGGGCGGACCTGGCGGCCGCTCTCGACGTAGATCCCCATCATCTCCTCCGCCCTGACCATCTCCTGCTGCCGATTTTACTTGCCAGCTTCCTTGTCCTTCTTATTCTTCTTCTTCTTCTTCTTCTTGGTCTCGAAGATCTCCTCCGCCGTCGCGCCCCCCAGCGCCAGTCGAAGACCGCGTGCCTCGCAGCGTTCGTAGACGCTCGTCGGGTTCAACCCCTTTCGAACGCACCATGGCGGATGCGGGCAGTCCTCCTGGGAGTGAACCTCCGAGAACGAGCCCGGCATCGACCTGGTCAGGTGGCGCATCTGCAGCAGCGCGACGTCCAGCCTGATCAGCCTGAGAGAGAAGTGGCGCCACTGGTGGAGAGGCTTCGACAGACGAAAGCTGTCGTTGAAAGGAGTCCCTCTCCTGAAGCGCCATCGCCTCGCTCTCCAGCGTTTCGACGACTGATTCGAACAGCTCCTCCCAGCCCGTCTCCTCCTCCTCCATGTCCGCGTCGCTCTCGTGGATGGTCATCATGGTCCTGCTCCTCCTCTGCTTCGGAACGCCCTTGCGGGCGCCCTTCGGGCCCGTCGCTCTCGCCCGCTAGCCGGCAACTCGCTCTTCGGATTCTCAGCGGCCTCCCTTCTTGAGCCCAACTGACGGCGGATCCGCCGTCGTCTTTCCTGTGAAACCCCTCGGGGCCCCGGACCTGGAGGGCCCCAGCGGCCATCAAAATCGAAACGACTGGGAGGGGCTGACTTGCACTTCGAGCTGGTTCGACTGCAAAGCTCCCGCCGATCCCCTCATAACCCCCCTCCGTCAGGTCCTCGAGGTCGTAGTCGAAGCAGGCGGCCGGCGCTGCGGCCTTCGCGGCGTCGGGGACCTGGAAATGCTCGGCCGCCGAATGAATCTGCGACGCCGACCGGTGGCCGGAGGGTGGCCGGAGGGGTGCCTGAAGAGTGTCCGACCGACCCGCGTGCCAGCGTCGTCAACCCATCATCTCGCCCTTCCGCAGGTCGATGCTGGACCCGATCATCTCCAGCGGCATGGCGGGAAGCAGTGGGGGGCAGAGTCCGTCGATGACCAAAAATCGAATGAATCCACAACCTGCCAGCGCGCAGGGCACCCATGCCTTGCCCATGGGAAGAGCCTCCCCACCGATGCCGGACGCGGCCGTGCCGGCGATCGGGGACTGGTCCTCGTGCACATGATCAACCCGGTGGCGGAAGGCATTCTGGAAGTTGTCGCGGTCGATCTTGCCTATCAGAGCCTGCCCGGCCGCGGTGTCGACCAAAACGTGATCCTGCATGTTCTGCGGACTTAAAGACGACCTCTCCTTCTCGTGACGAATCAAATCCACCCGCTGATCCAGAGAGTAGAACGACTCGATCTGGTCTCTGGGAACTCTTCTCCGTCGGCTGTCTCGTCGACTAGGAAGAAGGATCGCCACCGTTGCTCGCGAACGTGGTGTAGCTGGTCCACATGCTCGAGGATCCCCTCGTGGCCGTCGAACTGTGTCGTTCCGCCGCAATGCGATCTGATTTGGACTTGTAGGGCTTGCGGGAATTATCCGCCCAGCGGCCGCGGTTTCCACAGTTCGCACACCTCGTATTTTTCTTCTGGTCCGCCGAAGTGATCCTGCGATAGCCTGGCCCGGGCGCCCTTTTCCAATAGAAGAAGTCCCGATCGACGCGTCTGGCGGCCTCTTGCTGCCGAGCTTCCGCCCCCGCCCTTGTCTTCTCCATGCCGCCCCTCTCCTCATTGATAGCCGCCAGCACGGGCATCAGGTCGTGCTCGTCTATATCCTGCTCGTCTAGGGCCTCCAGGACAACCACCGCGTCCTCCTCTGGCAGCTCGAAGGAGTCGTCGGGGTCGGAGCAGAGTGAGGTTTTGGGATCTGGCGGTTCAGGCATTCCCGCGCTGGCGCCCTCTTCGATGTGGTTGTCGTTCTTCTCGCTCACGTAGCTCTTGGAATTCACTTGTCCTAGCGCAGCGCCTGCTCCCGCAAGCATGCCACGCTCCCTGACGTCGAGTAGAGGGAGACCCTGTCGGATGGATGCGAAATCCCTCTTTCCGCTCACTAGTGTCCTCAGGTTGACCTGTTTTGAGGCGCCAGGTTGGCGCCCTCCTCGAGACGCCTAGCCTAGCCTTGATCGCGTCGGGCAACTGAAGTCCATGAGTCTCGGCCTCGCTCACTCGGGCGCGCCGACGCAGCACATGGTCCGTGAGAGCTTCGCCCCGACGAATGGCATAGCCGAATAGTGCCATGTTCTGCGCCTCGCGCTCTTTTTCTCGGGGACGCTCGCCGTTCAAAACCGACTACTGATCTAGCAATCTTGAAATGCCATCGTCATCATCGAGAGAACTCCGGACCATTCTGAGCTTCATCTGTATGTCAGCGGGAAGCGTCTCCAGAACCTTTCCCGCTTGAGCTCCGTTAGCGTAGCCCGTCCTCGCCGACCACGCCTTTAAATTGGAACGGAACAGGTCCAGATGCTCAAATCCTAGCCATACTGGTGGAGCTCCGAAATCCCTGTTCGCATTGGCCTGTCGGTTGCCCCCGGACCACCACCCCTGCTGGTCCATCCAGCCGGCCATCGCGGGACCAGAATACCAGTCTGCGTCGTGCCATACTCTGTCGTCCCAACCTGTCCAGTCCCATCCCCGACAGTCCTGGCCTGGCGTCTCGGAGTGGACTGGCGTCGGATGAGGGCGGCTCTTTTGTTCACGCTGTAGCAATCTTGCTTCTAGATCCACGATTCTCTGCTCCAGTTCTTCACGGATTCTGGGTTGCTCTGGACCTGGCGTGCCCGAAGACAGATCCCCCATCTGCCCCTCAACCTCCGCCCCGCTTACCAATGTCCCAGCCTCTGTCGAGGCAGAACCCGCAGAAGGGCGGGATTTGGAGAGGGCGAGCGGGGGACTTTTTTTCTAGACGCTATCATGTTTCAAAGCCAAAGGCTGCGGGCACGAGCACACGGGCTGAAGCACGAAACGGGAGAAAGGGAGAACGGAAGGGAGGGAACATCCCTAGAGATCCCCGGGGTCCCTGGGACGAAGGTCACAAGGGAAAACTGGGACAGGGGATTTGTCCACATCCACCGCCTGGGAACCGACGTCCTGGTCTCCCAACGGGCGTTGGATATGGCTACATGTTGCCCCCCAGGGGCCCGAATACATTCATATCCACCGCCTGCATAGGTCCCCGAACATTGATCCTTCAGGCCGTGGTCATGTACAAATTCCCGCCTCGGAAATCCACGTGATCCGACGTTGTGAAAACATGCGACATTGCGAACTCACCCCCAGAGCCCTAAAGGCCATCTTCCTGCGTCACTTTTCGAACCCGGTCGATCTGCGAGGGTCCCGGAGCCCGAAACTGGCCGCGAAAACGCCCGTTGTGAAAAAACAATAAACGCCCGGTCTTGAGAGGTCATCCCCTCCTCCTCCTCCTCCTCCTCGTCTTCCTCCCCCTCCTCCTCCCCCTCCTCCTCCCCCTCCTGCTCCTCCTCCTCCTCCTCCTCCTCCTCCTCCTCCTCCTCCTCCTCCTCCTCCTCCTCCTCCTCCTGCTCCGCGCTGCGCGACATCCCCCCGGGACTTCGCCTGCACTACCGTCTTGTGCCCGTCGCTGCGCACGCAGGATACGAAGCCGTCCAGCCACGTGCCCTCCCGCCGCCGCCCGCCCCACCCCCCCCCCCGGCGCAGCCGGAAAAGGGGGAGTAGGCAGAAAGGAGGAGGCAGGAGGAGGAAGGAGGAGGGAGGCAGGAGGAGGGAGTCATGAGGGAGGCAAGAGGGAGTCAGGAGGAGGGAGGAGGGAGGAGGAGGCAGGAGGAGGAAGATTGTGTTGCGTTTGCATCGTCCTCGTCTTCGTCCTTTTTCTCGTCTATTCCCTCGCCCCGCAGGTAAGACGGGGCGTGATGGGGGATGCAGGAGGGAGGAGGCAGGAAGACCCTCGGATCCAGGCTCTGCTGAACGAACATCGTGACGGCCTGTTTGGTGCGTCGCTTCGACATCTTGAGTTCGTTTTCCAACCATGGGACTTGTTTAAAACTGTACTCTGGGAAAAGGTGGACCCCAGGGAAGTTTTGGAGATCACCGGGGCCATTTTCACGAACAAGATGCACCCTCGAAGAAAAGTCCAGGTGGAGGCACACCATGTTGAGCCGCATCTTGGCTCCAACTGGACTTGCTCCAACTGAACTCGGCGTCGTCCGCGAGGAGGCTGCGTCCAACTGAAAACCCACCACATGGAATCTCTGAGCTCCAATCGGGCGCCCCCCTGGGCTTTCTGCGAGCGTTCCAGAACGGCTCTGAAACGATTGCATAGATTCATCGATCCTAAGCATGCCTGGGAATATCCTCCTCCTCCCTCTCCCGCTTCCCCCCTCCTCCTCCTCCTCCTCCTCCTCCTCCTCCTCTTCCTCCTCCTCCTCCTCCTCCTTCTCCTCCTCCTCCCCGGCGAGGTTGTGGTATCCAATCCAAGAGTCAAATGAAGACCGTGGAGAATGGACGAGAACGCTCAATGCAAGCAGCGTGCCTCTGACTATGCGTCAAGATCCCGATTGTGAATGCGAATGTTTTCTGTGCCGGCTGCGGGCGTCCGAGTGATATATATTTAAGCGCGCCTTGCTGCAGCTGCGACTCAAGGCAGCACTGCGAGGTACAAAAGAATAAGTAGACGAGGTTAACAAACAATGCGCTGCCCCTTCATGCATACCGCCCCCTGTATGGGCTTACGCTCACAAGTGCCCTTCCTGACAATGGGTGGGACGCTCAAGTGCGTCAAAATAGAAAAGACTCCTCGGGTGACCAGCGGCTGGACACGCGTATTCTTAGCCGGTTGCCTCAGCCAGCTTCGCCAACAAGTCGCATGTAAAAACTCGAGAAGCCTGATTCGTGTTCGGGTTCCTCGCGCATCCTTGAAAGACCTCTGCCAATGCTTCGACGAGCCTGCGGGCAGGGGCAGGCTTCTGAGTAGTAGATCCGCACGATGATACAGCCAAGTACGCAGATACCCCCATTAATTCAGACTTGTTCGCTTTACAAGCCGCAACAACTTCAATCACCATAACCTCTGTCTGGTACACGAAAACTGTCCGCAGCATCGTGCTCGTGAAGACGCAAGTCCGAGCACGTACATCGAACGAGTGCAAACATATTCCAAACGAGCTCGCGCATGGACGCCTGCAAGGCGTCGGCAATGCTGGCCCACAAACGCCGGACATGCCGGAGCTGGTAGCCAATCCTCAAGTGCATCAGCATGTCGTCGGACACCACCACCAAGACAGTCAGTTTGCATTCTTGGATAACCTCCAAACGCCTAGATCTCCTCAGTAGCTCGGCGCGGTGGCGAGCGCGCACATTGTCGACTGACTGCTTCTTGAGATCATCGGGGTCGCCCGCGAAGGCGTAGAGGAGGTAATTGGGCAAAACAGATATGTGCAAACCTGTCCAATGTAGATGCAAAAAGGAGTTCAAACACGAATGCGCGATAGTCGTCCCAATCGCCTGGAAAAAATTACCGGGATTGAACTTTCGGGCGCTTCCGTAAACATCGACCTGCAATCGTTTACAACAAGTGCTGCATCTCATGAATGAAATCTGGGCCAAATCATCCGCATACCTGGAGCGCGCAATTTCGCTCGGCCGGGACGGACTCATAGAGACATAACGGTGCTCATGGTACATGCGCGCCACCTCGAGGAATACGGAACTCGGTGGACCCCCAATCGGGACGTCGGACGCCTGCGTCCACATGAACAGCCCGACCTTGAACATGCGCGTCTGAGAAAAAAACAGAATCGCGCGCTCGATCGTGTCAGCGTCGACCTCCCATCGATCGCGGTAGGTCCCATGAGCCGACGCTCCGATCAACACTCTCGACGCCCTGCCTTTCATGACCGTGACAGCGGATGAATGCAAACGCACCCGCACTCTAGAAAACAACTGAGAGCTTGCTTCGCACTCCGATTGCAAGCGTGCCCTTGTCGGGTGCACGTGTGCATCGTGCTCGGCAGAACTGAGGATAACACATGGTTTGGCAATGAAATCCAACATTCCTTTTTGATTGTGGGGTAGATGTATGGCAGAATATGGCCTGGCACTGGTGAAAACAATGGCCGCATGCGCCGGGGAATCACCCGGTCGATAATATGTTGGAATGTGGCCACGGCGCTGGGCACATCCGTGGAATTGAACTCTGATGCCGTCGTTCTCTGCAACTGGGCGAAACATCGGCTGTGCCAGAGATGATACTATCCAGACGGTGTTCGGGCCCTTATCTTCGCACGTGATGCAAACGTCGCGTCCTAGCGAACGCACCGCGTGCAACAAAGAACCGACCCGACGTTCCAAATAGCTGGGCGGGAAACATTCGGTAAACGATGGCCCACCTGCCGTGCAATCGACCAAGGGTCCACATTAGACTCGCACGTTTTGCTCAGAAGCTGCATGGCACTTTTTGCGACATCATCCCAATGTTGATCAGGGCTTGTGTTGATAAGCCATCTGCCGTTCACGGGCAACCTGATAAGATCGAGCCCTGATGCGGCATATCCAACACAAGACGGCGTAATGTTGTAGAACTCCAGCCTGTGGAATTGCTGCGACCGCGTGCTGGCATTGACAGCCCCCTCGCGGAAAAATCATCGCGGCCCGGGGTCGGATGCGCGTCCGCAAAATCAATACTGCCAGCGCTGGTAAACGACGTGCGACGTGGGCTGCAGCATGGCGCACACAATTAATAGCAAAAGACGACCATCTACGACTCGGTACGACAATTTCCCACATCTGTGGCACGACCATATGCTTCGAGTGCAACTCTTGACACAAAATACTGCGTAAACGCATCCGTTCGTGCATGCCCGTGAACAGAGCGCAAGATCGTCATCAGCATGTTGGCAAGCTCTGTGCCCATCCACATCCTGGCTTCGGTGAGCAACAAATTTGAAAAGAGGTGGCGGTGCTCTGGGATGTACAAGTTTAGCGGGCCCTGGTTCGGTGAAGCACTGTCTTGTTGAACCCAATAAAATGTTATGAAAAACTTCCGGAACATTTCCTGCGCAATAAACTTGTCCTTCCGTTCTTCCAACCTTGCACATGCTTTACGCTCGAACAAGTGCAAAAAACATCGATGAAAATCAAACGATGCTTGAGACACCCGGCTGATGTTGTTGGGGCGGGACCTCCGGGCACGTCGCGAAGCACGCTGTCGGTATTTCGGTTCCTCTTCCATCGACGCTGGACGAGCATGGTGAAGAGCATCATGCAAATGTCCATTCACATTCTTAACGTTGTTCGCTTGGGGCCTGATGTGCGATGAATGCGGCTTCAATGGCAGAGCTGGACGTCGCCGGCATCAGCCGTAACAAACAAAAGTGCAACATAGATCCAGTCCCATGGCGAAGGATCTTATAGCGAGCACGTTCAGCATTACTGGCTCTACACACAATCGAAAACAAAACCTGCACATGCTCACGGAAACGGGAAACGCCTCCAGGGGCGGATGACGACTTGCGTAACGTCTGGCGTCTCCCAACGTACAACGTTCGCAAACCGAGCTGATACGGATGGTGCACATGATCGTCACGGCTGAAAACTGCCCGCAATTGCATTTGAAACCAATCCACTAGCATGGCACCAGGACTCGTCAGACCTTGAACGACTTCGACGTCCAGCCCACGGCGAATCCCTCTTGCAACTTCTAGCTGGCGCCGACCCCCAAGCCATGCTCGACGGAGATCAAATACTGTGGCGCAGATCGTGACAACCACAAACAAACCCTAATGCTCAAGCTGCCAACCACTGCCCCGGGGTACAGCAAGGAAATGCGATTGCCAATCTTGTAATAATTTGGGCATGTCGCTGACAATGCGAGCCCTGCACGCATCGAGAAGCGTGTAGTTTGTCGATTTCCGCAGGAATGTGTGGTACACTGCAGGGAAACACTGATAATGAGGAAACATCAATGGTTGGATCAATACCTGGTACTATCCGACAGAACTCTAGCGCCAAACCTGCATGCGAAACATGCGCATTAGACATAAGATGTCAGACATGTAACAAAACAACAGACAACTGCGGTACATCTCGATGGCTCCGACCCGCTGTAAACCCTCGGCGAGGTTGTGGTATCCAATCCAAGAGTCAAGTGAAGACCGTGGAGAATGGACGAGACAATTCAATGCAAGCAATGTGCCTCAAGATCCCGATTGTGCATGCGAATATTTTCTGTGCCGGCCGCGGGCGCCCGAATCATAGATCTTTAAGCTCCCCTTGCTGCAGCTGCGACTCGAGCCGGCACTCCGAGGTACACAAGAACAAGTAGAAGAGGTGAACGAACAATGCGCTGCCCCCTCCTCCTCCTCCTCCTCCTCCTCCTCCTCCTCCTCCTCCCGGGGGGGCCGAAAAAAAAATGCGTGGGAACGGCTCGCGTTAACTCGGAAGCCCCAACGTCCTCACCGCAGGCTGGGTCGGCAAGGTCATTGAAACTGCTGGATCTGCAGTCAACAAATGTTCGAAAACGCTGGGCCAGCACGGTGTTTGCAACCGCTGGATCCGCAATCCGCACGGTGCTTGGAAACGCTGGATCGGCACGGTGGTTCATGATATATAAACGGGGGGCGCAACAATCGCGGACGGCCCAGATCGACTGACTCTCGTCGTTGAAAGCGATTCGAGGCAGCCAATGTGTCTGAGCTTGCTAAGCCCCAAGAAAGTCGGTCACCTGGGGGGAAGAGGCCAACTCCAATCAAAATTTGTCCCCAGACCCCTCCCGGTGTCGAAACTGATCAGTTTTTCGAAACTCGTCCAGCCGTGGCGACGAGGGGGCCCCTTGCTCCCTCCTTTCTTCTGGCCAGAATGTGTGCTGGGCCACATCTGAGGAGAGGAAGAGCTTACTTCGCTTTTGACCACCATCGCTTCCAGATAATAACCAAGTGATGCCAACTTGCTCGCGGGGAACGTGACTGTGACCTCGTCCGCCAACAGACAATCCGCATGCCCGCCGATCTTCCCCAGACTCTCTGGCGACTCTTGCCCCTTCGCACTGCCGAGCCCCGAACTCCCAAACGTTCTCCTAAACGGCGCCAAATATCGAACCAAACGGCATGTGAGTATAATACCGGACAAACCTGGTAGACCACCACCAGTTTCCGATATAATACCACGTGCTGTTCGGCCTGGTCCGCATGCGTAAAATAACGATGCGGACGCGGAATTGGCAGAACACCAAAAAGTTTTGGTACAACACCAAGATTTCCCAGGACTTGACCAAAGTATCCCAGCAGGACTCCAAGACATCCCCGTACAACTCAAGTGCTCCCAGCAGGGTGCCAAGTTATATTGGCACGATGGCAACTGTCGTTTCGAACGGTGTGTGGAAATCCTGTGGCTTGGCAATGCGATGCGGCGGGGGGGGGGGGGGGGCGCGGCCTCTGCCAAACTGGAGGTGCGTGGTCTGCCATGGTTGTGCTTGGAAAGGAAGCGGGGGAGGTACCGTTGAAGGGAAAAACTGTGCATCACAAATTGGGGGACCACTTCGACTACACCACCCCGCACCCCCCTGGCCTTAAGATTGAGCAATTGGTCCCGGAGATGAGCGGCCGGAAAACATCTCAACCCAAGCTCTCGATCGCAATGCATTCCAAAATTAAAGCTGGGGGGTGGAGGGGGAATCGGTTCTTGTTCGTCGGAGCGTTGTTGATGCATTATTTTTCCTTCAACCGTACATCCTCTTCCGATTCATCTACTCACACGGGTGCCCCTTGGCACGATTGACCTTTGGTGCGTGGTTTGCCGATCGTCGCATGAGCCCGCCCTCCCATGACCTGGCCCCCTCCCACCCCCCCCGCTCTGACGGCATTTTCGCCCCTCCCCCCCCTCCCCCTTCATCTCCCCTACCCTTCCATCCTCTCGTCCGAAGCCCTCATTCCCCCCGCCCACCTGGTCTTCCTCCCTCAAATCCCCCCCTTTTCCCCCCCATCCCTTCCGAATCCGTTACTTCCTCCACAACCCCCCCCGTTCCTTCCCGTCCCCTCCATTCCACGTCCGCCCCTCGGAAGACACCACCCTGCCCTCCCAGATCGTCCTCCCCTGCCCTCCCCCGTCTTCCCCTGTTCCCTCAACCGGCTACTCGATCCTCCCCTCTCACTGTTTTTCGTTGTCGATCGCTCTCCGATCGTCACTGCATGGGAAACAATTGATTCCATTGGATCCCATTACATGCGTGCAACATTCTCGCGGACCCCAACTGTCTATCGTCTGGATATTGCTCGGGATGGCAACTTCGTGGGTGCCTTTCTTTCGCGGGAGAAAACGTGTATCACTGATTCTGAAATTGGGGCCACAGGACATGGGATCATCGGATCCGTGGATCACGAAGGCAGTGTTACGATTCGATATGGAAAGCCCCCCCCCAGCAACATGACGCTCGAGCACGGCCACAAGATTGGGAAATTACCCTGCGGCGTACCTGACCCATCTGCAGTACGTGACGAGAGAATCTGGTCCAGACTAATATGGCTGATGACAACACAAAATGTGCAATTGATCGTGCGGACTAGATGGGAAGCGCGCGCGTTTCGCGACTCACAAGGCAACAACAGAAGGACGAGGACTGATGGCCCCAGGCCCAGAACAGGGAAATGGCATGGGGGTAGGAAGAATGCCAGACGAGGGGCCGAAAAGCTCACGCGACAACAGCAGTGATATTGTGGAAGGAAGACGGGGACCACAACGAAAGAGGCACAATGAGGACGGATAACGGCGACCGTTTTCAAATCGCACGCTGGACAATCACCGCGGCCCGCGCCATGTCGCCCTGGCACTCCACAGGATCAGCGGCTCGTAATTTGAGCAAGAAGCGAGCGAGGCCGAACTCGCCCGCCAAGTTCTCCGCCTCCCTCCGGCACCTTGCAGCGCGGGAGCGAAAAACCAGCAGGTGCGCCGCCAGGTCCTCGGGCGGGCCGCGGGAAACGAAACCAAAACTAATCTGAGTAAGGGTGGGGCGTCAGACCTCGGACGTGGCGACACTTTCGCAATTCGCAACCCCCCAGGGATGGTGAGGTCTAAATCTGAGCCTGCGTAGGGCGTCAATCTGCGGGACCCCCAGCAGCCCTGCAAACGTGGCGACCATTTCGCAGTTCGCAGTCCCCCAGGGGCGGTGATGTCGAATCTGAGTCTGCGGACCCCCCAGCAGTCGTGCAGAAGTGGCGACAGTTTCGCAAATCGCAGCTCCCTGGGGATAGCGAGGTCGAATTTAGGTTTCCGTAGGACGTCGTTCCGCTAGCGGCCCTCGGGAGCGGCGACAATTTCGCATCGAGGGAGACGGAAGGAGGTAGCAAATGCGAACCCAACGCAGGAGGGTTGGCAGGAGCGAGCGGTTGGTTTTGTCAGTGGAGCGGTCGAGCGACGGCGGGGCGCATCCGTAGCGGTCGGGCGACGGCGGGGCGTACGGCGGGGCGCATCCGTAGGGAATTGAGGCAGGCGGTTTCGAGGGAAGGCGCGGAGGAGAGGAAAGACAACAGCGGGCGGCCGAGCGCGCTCAGATCGTGAAGACCTTGTACGTGTGTGCCACAGCACTGGCTTGTGCAGGTGACACATGAAGCCTGAGATGGCCGAGGGCCCGGGCCCGAGCCTGGCCTGAAGTGGGATCAAGACGGCCCAACATAGCACCACGACGGCACTAGACGCTTCCGAAGCGGCCCAAAAATGCCTAAGATGGCCTCGTGATGGCCCAAGCCCGAGCCTGAGCCCGGCCTAATATGGTAGCAAGACGGCCCAAGATGGCTCCAAAGCGGCACATGAGGCCTCCGAGACGGACCAAGACGCCCAAGATGGCTTCGTGAAGGCCCGAGCCCAAGCCTCCGCCCCGCAGCTGGCTCCAACTCCATCCCCATGCGAAGGCAGGATCAGTCAGCATCGAATCAGAATCGGATCGAATCGATATGTACATCTGATTGGGCTGCACCGGTGCGGAATCGAAATCGAATATGATCGGCTGCGCCAGGATGCACAACAACTCCATTCAAGCATCGGGCCGCGTCGCACCATCGGAAAACTATATATACATGTTTATGAATATGCGTGTGTGTGCACATGCATGGGTACTGGCATGTGTGTATGTATAGGTATATGTATATGTATGTATACGTGTGTACGCATGCATAGGTATATCTATGTATATATATATATATAGTTAGATGTTTGTGTACATGTGCGTGTGCAGGTATCTGTGTATGTGTATGTACATGTACTGTATACGTATACGTATAGGTGTGTGGGTACGTGTATGTGCATACGTATGAATACTTGTGTATGCATATGCATATGTAGGTGTATGTGTGCAAATGTATACGTACATGTATATGTATGTATGTATGCATGCATGTATGTATAGATCGGAATCGAATCGGATCGGGGCCGCCAATTAGAATCTATATCGAGGTGGACCAGACCGACATGGATCCTGTCTTACATTAGGAACTCGACCACAAGAAACCTTCCACACGAAACCCAACCGTGAGACCCCAGGAAATCCATATATTTTTGTGTGGGAACGTAACGCTTTCCATCGCAAAACCATCGAAACCAAAGAAACCCAGGGCACCCTTGAGGCCAGCAGGGTGTTTCTTTGCAAGCAGGGTGCTTCCACTGTAGGGCCTGACCCCTCCGCCCCCCGCGGACGCCTGGTGGCCGGTCCTCAGCTTCACGCGCTCGCCCGCACACCAGGGCCGCGGCACGCAGCCGGACTGGGCCGCGCAGAGAGCTGGGGGTGGCCACTCGCTGATTCCCCTCTTGCCTCCTGCTCCTGCTGCTCCTCCTCCCTCTCCTCCTCCTCCTCCAACTCCTCTTGCGCCTCCTCCTCTTGCCTCCTCTCCTCCTTCTCCGTCTCATCCTCCTCACTCTGCCTGCCCTCCTTTCCTCTCCTTTTTGGCGTTGTGCAAACATTGGCGGGGTGGCCGCTGCGTCCATGGAGGCGTTCGCGATCAAACGGAAACAAAGATGCGTCGGGACGCAACACCCGATCGACCTCTTGCCGATGTATGCACCAATGCCTTTTCTTTTGTTCCTCCTCCTCCTCCTCATCCATTCCTGTTCCTTCTAAGTAACTTTTCGCTGACGCACCCCGAAGCCAATTTTTACGGCGGGCCGGGCGCTTCGCCTGAGACGTCCTCACCAATTATGACTCTGAAGCGTAAACATTGGCAACGGTTGCACAGATGGAAGGCGTGTGGTTTTCAAAATGTGGCTCTCGCCTGAGCGCCGCGCACATTCGTTTTGAACATTTGCAAGAGTCTCACGGGTTGGGGGCGGATGGTTTTCAAAATGTGGCTCTCGCCTTAGCGCCGCGCGCATTCGTTTGAAGCATGTGCAAGAGTTTCGCGGATTGAACGCGGCTCAATTTCAACATGTGGCTCTCGCCATAGCGCCGCACACATTCGTTTATAACACTTGCAAGAATTTCACGGGTTCCCATGATCGACGTACCAGATATGTGTTGGAAGGATGCAGGCATATCAGGGCGCAACAATTACGTTGATTCGCGGTGTTGAAGTCCCAGGAATGGCGTTCTGGCACGAATCCGGATCGTCAAGACGCAACAATCAGGTTGATATGTGGCGTTGGAATCCCGGGAACAATGTATTGGCATGCTTCAGGGTCTTCAAACGGTTGTCTTCCAAAGAGGCAGTTCCCTCAGAGGAAATGAACCGTTGTATGGGGCCTTTGGAGAGGGAGCTTGGAGGGAGAGTTTACTCCAACATTGTTGATGGCTCTTGGGTTTACACTAGTCCTCCTCCTTCTGCTCCTTCCTCCTCCTCCTCCTCCTTCTCCTCCTTCTCCTCCTTCTCCTCCTTCTCCTCCTCCCCCCCTCCTCCCTGTTCCTTATCAGAAAGGGGGGCCCGCGCCCCTCCCTCGGGGAAGGTGGAGCGGATCCTGGAGGAAAAGGGTTTCCTCGAGTCCCCCACGGCCCCCAAGACTGTGACAAAAATCACCCCGGATGAAGAAATCGTCCTGGGGAGGACCACCTGAGCTCAGTGCACCTCGGAGCCCAGAATTGCGAAGATGTGTCAGGTGAAAGTGGTCGGGCCACCATGGGGCAGGGCATTTCCGAGGTCAGAGTTGCAAGGATGTCCCAAGAGAAAGTGGCCTGACCACCTCAGAGCGCAACATGTCGGATTCCAGAGTTGCGAGGATGTCTCAGGCGAAAGTGGGGGGGATCACCATGGGGCAGGGCATCTCCGAGGACAGACTTGCGAGGATGTCCCAAGAGAAAGTGGCCTGACCACCTGAGCTCAGGGCACCTCGGAACCCAGAGTTGCGAGGACGTCTCCGGCAAAAATGGCCGGACCACCATGGTGCAGGCCATGTCCGAAGTCACTCTTGCGAGGATGTCTCAAGCGATAATGGCCGGACCATCATAGGGCTCAGGGCACCTCGGAACCCAGAGTTGGCAGGACGTCTCTGGCAAAAGTGGCCTGACCACCTGAGCTCAGGGCATCTCGGAACCCAGAGTTGCGAGGATGTCTCCAGCGAGTGTGGCAATATCAATATTGGACAGAGCATTTCCGAGGTCACAGTTGTCAGGATGTCCAAGGCGAAGATGGCCTGACGTCTCAAGAGAAAGTGGCCTGACCGCCTCAACTGACGACCTCTCGGAGGCCAGAGTTAAGAGAATGTCTCAGGCCAATCTGGCTGGACCACCATGGGGCAGGGCATCTCCGAGGTCAGATTTGCGGGGATGTCTCAGGCGAATGTGGCCGGACCACCTCAGAGCGCAACATCTCGGAATCCAGGGTTGCGAGGATGTCTCAGGCGAAAGTGGCCTGACCAACTCAGCTCAAGACCTATCCGAAGTCAAACACTCGAAGATGTCTCAGGCGAAAATGGCCTGACCACCTGAGCTCAGGGCACCTCGGAACCCAGAGTTGCGAGGACGTCTCCGGCAAAAGTGGCCTGACCACCTGAGCTCAGGACATCTCGGATCCCAGTGTTGCGAAGATGTCTCCAGCGAATGTGGCTGGACCAATATTGGGTCGGGCATCTCCGAGATCACAATTGTCAAGATGTCTCTGGCCAAAGCGGCCTGGCATCTCAAGCGAAAGCAGCCTGACCGCTTCATATCAGGGCATCTCGGAACCCGGAGTTGCGAGGATGTCACGGGCGACGCTGGCTTGAACAACTCAGCTCAAGGCATATCCGAAATCAAAACCTCCGAGGATTTCTCCAGCGAAAGTGGCCAGACCACCTCAGCTCAGGGCACCTCGGAACCCAGAGTTGCGAGGATGTCTCACGCGAAAGTGGTCGGACCACCTGAGCTCAGGGCACCTCGGAACCCAGAGTTGCGAGGATGTCTCAGGCGAAAGTGGCCAGACCACCAAGGGGCGGGCATCTACGAGATCAGAGTTGCGAAGGTTTCTCGAGCGAAAGTGGCCGGACCACCTCAGTTCTAAGCATATTCGAAATCACACGTGCGAGGATGTCTCGGGTGAAAGTGACTGGACCACAATGGTGCAAGGTATCTCCAAAGTCAGAATTGCAAGGATGTCTCAGACGAAAGCGGTCACACAATCCTCATCCAGCTCCTCCTCGCTGTACCGCGCCATGGCTCCGCGGGCGGGCACGGCACGGGGAAGGACAGGGAGGAGGCAACGACATAAAACGAGCAAAGAAGATCGATGCACCAGGCGCAAGTAACAATTACGTTTTGTCGTAACGCCGCGCAGCTACGTGCGAAATGGCTGACCACAGCGTTCACGAAGCTGCGCGAGTACAACATAAGACTACATATAGTCAGGACAAATGTGGGGGAGGATGAGGAAGGATGTGAAGGAAAGGGAATCGAAGACTGGCCCTTGATTTTCTTTGGCGGCGTCCCGATTGTTTCCCACAAGGCCGTGGAAGGCCCTGGGGGTACCGTGATGACGAAAGGGAGGGGGGAAGTAGGAAACGTGCGCACGCGCGCATGTTATGGCACTCGGTCGGGCCGCGTCGCCCCGCACCCCCATGCGAAAGACGCCTGGCTCGTCCTACAAGTTGGCGCCAGCTGCGCAATCAGGAAGAGGAAGATGACGAAGACGAGGGGGCTGAAGACCGAGAGCGGCGACGCAACTTCTTAGTCGCGCGCCTGCTCTTCTGGTGAACGGCGTCTTGGGCCTTGCGGCGCCTGTGCCTTGAAACTCTTTTGGTGAAGGGCGCCTTGCGCCCACTCAAATTCATATCGGCAATCCGGGTCCCCCACAGAACCCACGACAACGAACCTAACGTAGCCTCAAAAATTCTTCTGGCATTTTTCAGCCTGTAATATCTCTGCCGCGGCGTCATCATCTGCGTATGCCGCGCCCTTGGGAATCAGAGTCGGGGCGCGCGAAGAAACCGCCGGCCCGTTCACGAAGCCATGGCGGTGAACCGTGGGGACGCCGAACACCCGCGTGGAGCTCCAGTGGTACGTGGAGTGCACGCCCACGCATGTAGCCGTGAGATATTTGGAGCAGAAGACCGCTTCAGGCAGCGTGGCTTTCGGGGGCGGGCCCCAGTCAATGAAAACGCAGGCCGGTGACTTTCAATTCTGCGTCTTGGCCAAAGTCGCCCGCTCGTTCACCATAGCCACATAATCCGCGCACTCAGCAATCACTCGCACTTTGGCTTCCTGCTCCGTCCACGAGCGCATATTGCCGAAGTGGCCATCGCACGGCCCTTTGCCGTGCCCTTCGGGAAGAAATGGGCACGCACTAGCTGCGAGCTTGCGTGCCGAGACAGCAGATCGTGCAGAAGATAGCCTCGGAGCCGAGTCGATCGAAAATGCGGGCCGCAAGCGCCCCACCACACGACGGTGTTGAACGAAGGCAAGCCCACGCGTGTGAATATGTCCTCCGTGCACGAAATGGCGAACGACGACGACTGCTCTTTGACTTCGGGAGCGTCGGTGCAGCACGTATGCTCCACGGTCTGCGACCACACCACAAAGGTGAGTACTGTGACTCCCTGCGCCCCGCCAGCTGTACCAAGAACTCGCCAGTTTTTCCGCGGACCCACGGGCAACGTGTCATGCTCCTTGAAATCGCAGTGCACGTGCACCGCGTTAGGCTCTGGATTGTCCCAGTGGGTCGTGTAAGCGTCTTTTCATTCCTCGCGCTGCGTAAAATATAAACCGGAACTGCTGCAAACATCGACGAGGCCAACCTTCTCCTTGATTGGAAGCCAACTCGTCCGGAGCTCGTGGATCAGACCCGACTCCACGGTGTGAAGCTGGCCACGCAGCTTTGGTGGAACCTTGGTTTCGGGCCCGTGAGATGCGCCTGCAACGCCCCCATGCAGTTCGCGGTAACTGCATACTTGTGTCCGCCCTCGACCACGGCGCCTGCAACTTCGGCGTCCCATCGGCCCCAGTACGGAGGTAATAAGTCCGCGAGCTCTTTCCTCGCTTTGCCGACCCACGCCTTCACGGCAGGGGCGACGATGCTATCGAACGTGGCGCGCTTGAGCACATGTCCAACTGCCGCGTCGCACATCGAACGTCATGGTTGTCTGCCTCGACGTTGCGGTAGAAGGTTGAGCAGGAGACGTCGCAAGGGGCCTCTTGCCACAACTGGTGCCCGCTGTGAGTGGGCGCCCGCTTCACGCGAAGCTCGGAATCGGCTGCAGGGTCGCCGGGCAGGGCGCGCTTCTTCTTCTTCGGCGTCGCGCAGTCGCACGTGGGCGCGCCGTTGTCCAGCAGGTACTTCCTAATCTCCTTAGTGGCCTACTTTTG